AATGAATGAATGAATGAATGAATGAATGAATGAATGAATGAATGAATGAATGAATGATTTGTGGGAACAACATAAACATGAAATGGAATTAAATTCTTTGGAGGTGGTAAGATGGGACTGAAGTTCCTGAAGCTGTGACAGAGAATAACAGCACAACAGAAATACATAAAGGGAAGGCATAAAGGCAGAGAAGGACTTGTTCGTCCTATGGAAACTAGTTGAGTTGGGTGTGGCACTAACAGCAATGATGGGGCTGCTGCACTATCTATATATGCCCAATCTGTCCTTCAAAAGTCATGGAGAGCCATAAAGAAATCAAATTCTTAAAGAGGAAGAAACTGTATTTGTTTCCTACTGATTACCTAAAATTATGGGGAAGTGTTGGGGGAGGCCCTCAATAGAATAATAGGGTGGAATGGGGTGGGGAGAAGATGAGATTGCAAAGTTGATATCTAATTAATAGCATTCAGACAATGGCAATGGGCAAGTCAGGAAAATTTCTGTCCTCTCCATCTCTTAATATATGGTCTTGCTACATTACCTTGATATTCTTCACATTTAGTTTTTTGTGGAATCCTATGATTGAAAATAAATCCCACTGAGTTCACTATCTATATGTTAGGATTTCAGTCTAAATAGGCAATCTGATATGTAAACACTGGGTTTGAATGGAAACCACTGTGGAAAGCTATTATTAAGACAAATGTCTCAAAATAGGTTTAGATTAGAAAACAAACAACTGTTGTTGCTTATAAAAAGACACAGAGACAAAGATGTAGACATGCTAAAAGCAGAGCAAATGATCTGAGCAATAATTGGGGTGCAAGAAAGACTATGAAAGCATGCAAAAATACCATCTTTATTCATGTTGACTTCCAAGCATTTCTTCAGCCGACATGCTCTGCATTGGTTCCTATGTGTCTTGTCCACTGGGCAGCCTCCCTAAAACACAGATAGTTAAGTGAAAGGGAGGGACAAAAGTGAATCTCAACAATCAACTTACAGAATAGAAAGGTGCTTGATAATATATCACCATATACACACCAATAAATGTATTATAGAGAGTACAGATTCATTTTAAATTACTCCAGAAAAAGGAAAGTGGTGCTTTCTGCAAATGGAAATCACCTAAGGAAAAAAAATGGAACCACACAGACATTATTCCCCAATCTAGTGTCCTTGTTAACTACAATTCCCACTATGAACAATCAGCTCAAACAATGTATGTTAATAGGTATAACTAGCATACCAGAAGGCAAGTAATCAAAGAAGCTCTATGGATCAATTTTTTCCCAATCTGGTATATCTCAGAAACATCATAATTTCATTTTGTATTTCATAACAGTGCTGACAAGTATCGACTAGGTAGACAGCGAGCTTCCTTCAGCACCCAAGACAGCTCCCTTCCAACCCTCCTGAAAAATCTCCTTTTCATCAGAGGACTGTGGTGTTCTCATTCTACCTAACCCAGCAGTCTGAAACTGAACATTTAGCCCAGTGTTTCTCAACCTTGGCGACTTTAAGTCCTGGGGACTTCAACTCCCAGAATTCCCCAGCCATCTGTGCTGGCTGGGGGATTCTGGGAGTTGAAGTCCCCAGGACTTAAAGTCGCCAAGGTTGAGAAACACTGGGCTAAATGTTCAGTTTCAGACTGCTGGGTTAGGTAGAATGAGAACACCACAGTCCTCTGATGAAAAGGAGATTTTTCAGGAGGGTTG